TCAATGCAAATGAAGGTAGGAAAACTGAAGAATATTTTCCAGAGTATTGGTGCAAATTTTTGGCATCACAGAAATGTAAAATGTTCAAAGGACTGCTGTCAACTGAGACATTCTTTCGTGTTTAGGCCAATTTTTTGAGGTTACTCCAGTCAGACACAGGCTGTAATAGTGTTTATAAAAGGGGGCAGAGTTGAAGAAGGGGAGAGAAGAATTCACATTGAAATGATCGATCAATAAGAGGGTCTCCCTTGTTAGCTGCCATTTTCACGTTGTTGTATTTTCTACCATTTGTTTGTTTATTAGACAGTACTTGGATACACGAAACAGTTCATTCATTGAATTCTAATTTGTTGTATTGTTCTCATTACCATATTTCTCTCTCTAAGCTTCTCTTTTTGCCTTTTTTTTGTTTTTTGTTTGCTGCTTCTGGCAGCAATTGGCAAGAAGAATTAAACATTTTTACTACTAAACTAGTTTAAGGAAGTTAGAAACAAAGTTTGATATAGGCAGTGTGCCCCCCAGTGTTTCGGCAACAGTTTAATATGAACAGATTGATTTTCCCAAATAATGATCTAAAATTATTCATATCGGTTCATGATTCACAGAAGGCTACGGCTACAAGTTCACAAGTTTCACGTTATGATTCAAAAATTGAAAATAATTTGCTACCCAATCAGTTTATTGTATGTTCAAATTCGTGAAAATCATTAATAAGGAGTAAACCATAAATTTTACTCAAATAATCTCTTTTATTTTAGATATAAGTTCCATTTACGATTGCAAACAGAAACAATTATTTCATTCTTTTTCTAAAAGCCAGAGGTGAGCAGGTTCGGGTATTTGGCCTAAACCCTTGGAATTGGAACCGACAGTTGATTTAGGAACCAGACACTATTCACGCCACCAAATATTTACAGAAATTACAAATACACCTCGGGCATATGCCGGTTCCACGTCGTGTACCCAAACCTCGGTTTCAGTTTCGGTTTCTGAAGTGGTGGAACCGAAACCGGAACTAAATGGTGCAGATTCCACCAAATTTGAAATCGGCACCGACACCCCAAGTACCAGCCGATTTCAATTCTACCCTAAAAATTTACTCACCCCTAATAGAAAGTCCATGCTTGAAAGGATCATATACATTCGCAAATCCTTAATGGCTTGAAAGTATAACTGGTTACTTGTGTGTTTATTTTGGTTTGATTTCAATCTCAATGGGTCGCTTTAGATCTCTAACATCTCTCTCAAAACCACCCAAATGCCTCAATCTTTCACGTCCCAATACATCTATTTCAAATGGGTCTCTCACAAATCATCATCATCGTCATCATCTCACCTTCTACAGATCAAACCGCGGCGTTTCGGACAAAACCCACGAGTTTATTCACGCCGAGCAACAACACCCGGATGCCAAAGCAGAGACTTTAAACCATAAAATCACAGAGGAATCTGAAAGAATCTGTAAAGTAGTATCAAACAACACTTCTAATATAGACTCGTCTCTAAATAACGCTTCAATTGAGGTGTCTCCAACGCTTGTTCTTGAGGTTTTGAAGAGGCTGAGCAATGCGGGTGTGCTGGCGTTGTCTTTCTTTAGGTGGGCTGAGAAGCAAAAAGGGTTTAAACATGATGCAGAAAGCTATAATGCGTTGATCGAATCTCTGGGAAAGATTAAACAGTTTAAAATAATATGGGAATTAGTGAGCGAAATGAAGAGTAAAGGGTTGTTAAATAAAGAAACTTTTGCTTTAATTTCGAGGAGATATGCGAGNCATTCATTGAATTCTAATTTGTTGTATTGTTCTCATTACCATATTTCTCTCTCTAAGCTTCTCTTTTTGCCTTTTTTTTGTTTTTTGTTTGCTGCTTCTGGCAGCAATTGGCAAGAAGAATTAAACATTTTTACTACTAACTAGTTTAAGGAAGTTAGAAACAAAGTTTGATATGAACAGTATCCCCCCCAGTGTTTCCGCAACAGTTTAATATGAACAGATTGATTTTCCCAAATGATGATCTAAAATTATTCATATCGGTTCATGATTCACAGAAGGCTACGGCTACAGTTCACAAGTTTCACGTTATGATTCAAAAATTGAAAATAATTTGCTACTCAAATCAGTTTATTGTATGTTCAAATTCCTGATAATCATTAATAAGAAGTAAATCACAAATTTTACTCAAATAATTTCTAGATATAAATTCCATTTACGATTAAGACAGAAACAATTATTTTATTATTTCCCTAAAAGATAGGGGTCAGCAGGTTCGGGTATTTGGCCTATACCCTTAGAATTGGAGCCGACAGTTCGATTTAGGAACTAGACACTATTCACGAAAAATTACAAATATCTTCTACCGTTCACAAAATGACAAATATATCTTATGAAAATCACAAATACACCACCAAATATTTACAGAAATAACAAATACACCTCGAGTATATACCAGTTCCACGTCGGGTACCGAAACCCCGGTTTCAGTTTCGGTTTCTGAAGTGGTGAAACCGAAACTGGAACTAAACGGTGCCGATTCCACCAAATTTGAAATCAGAACCGACACCCCAAGTACCAGCCCATTTCAATTCTACCCTAAAAATTTACTCATCCCTAATAGAAAGTCCATGCTCGAAAGGATCATATACATTCGCAAGTCCATAATGGCTTGAAAGTATAATTGGTTACTTGTGTGTTTATTTTGGTTTGATTTCAATCTCAATGGGTGGCTTTAGATCTCTAAAATCTCTCTCAAAACCACCCAAATGCCTCAATCTTTCGCGTCCCAATACATCTATTTCAAATGGGTCTCTCACAAATCATCATCTCACCTTCTACAGATCAAACCGCGGCGTTTCGGACAAAACCCACGAGTTTATTCACGCCGCGCAACAACACCCGGATGCCAAAACAGAGACTTTAAACCATAAAATCACAGAGGAATCTGAAAGAATCTGTAAAGTAGTATCAAACAACACTTCTAATATAGATTCGTCTCTAAATAACGCTTCAATTGAGGTGTCTCCAACGCTTGTTCTTGAGGTTTTGAAGAGGCTGAGCAATGCGGGTGTGCTGGCGTTGTCTTTCTTTAGGTGGGCTGAGAAGCAAAAAGGGTTTAAACATGATGCAGAAAGCTATAATGCGTTGATCGAATCTCTGGGAAAGATTAAACAGTTTAAAATAATATGGGAATTAGTGAGCGAAATGAAGAGTAAAGGGTTGTTAAATAAAGAAACTTTTGCTTTAATTTCGAGGAGATATGCGAGAGCTAGGAAGGTTCAAGAAGCCATTGATGCCTTTGAGAGATTGAGGAATTTGGATTGAAGTTGGAAATCATCAGATTTTATAGATTGTTTGATACTTTGAGTAAGTCAAAGAATGTAGAGGCTGCACAAGAGGTGTTTGATAAAATGAAAGAGAAGATTTGAACTTGATATTAAGTCGTATACTATTTTGTTAGAAGGGTGGGGAAGCGCTCAGAATTTGTCGAGATTAAACGAGGTTTATACAGAAATGAAGGGTGAGGTTTTGAGCCGGATGTCGTAACGTATGGGATTATGGTTAATGCACATTGTAAGGTTAGGAAGTTGATGATGCAGTTGAGTTGTTTCGTGAAATGGAGCGAGAATTGCAGGCCTAGTCCTCATGTTTTTTGTACTCTGATTAATGGATTGGGTTCTGATGGGAGTTATGAAGCCCTTGAGTTTTTTGAGCTGTCGAAGAAGAGTGGTTTCGCACCAGAGGCACCTACTTTTAATGCTGTTGTGGGAGCTTATTGTTCTGCGAATCAGATGCATGACGCTTATAGATGTTTGATGAGATGAGAAGACTTGGGGTTGGTCCGATTCTCGAACTTATGATATAATTTTCATCGCCTTTCAAAGGCTGGGAAAACAGAAGAAGCTTACTCTGTATTTCAGAAAATGAGCAGCGAGCCAGGCTGTAACCAACCTTGAGCACGTTTGAGATTGTAATTAGGATGTTTTGCAATGAAGGCAACGTAGATTGGCAATCAGGTTTGGGATCAGATGAAGGCAAAAGGAGTGCTTCCTGGGATGCATTGTTCTCGACATTGATTCATAGCCTGTGTCTTGAGAATAAGCTAGGTGATGCTTGCAAGTATATTGAAGAGATGTTGAACATGGGTATTCGGCCTCCAGCCAAGATGTTTAGTACTGAAACAAGCTCTTCTGGATGGGGGAATGGCGGAAACTGCTCTTGATTTAGCTATGAAGATTGATAAAATAAGGAAAACTCCATTAGTAAGAGGTCATAAAAGCACCAAGGTATTTCTTATACGATTTTATGGCCTACTTCGCGGCCATAAGAGAGCTGCTAGACAATCTTCCAACCATGTTTACGAGAATCTGGGCACACAACGTTATACTTCTTCGAATAGGGGATTCTATCATATGGTTTCAGTATTGATTTACAAAAATCATGATTTTTCTTTACTGAAATTTTGGGGGCATGCAAATGAGTTACTGTATCTTTAACTTTCATAAGAACCTTTGCTCTCAAATTTTTTCACTTTGTCAATGGCTTGATCTCTTATAACCTAGAAATAATTCAGTGAAAAGAGAACTATTGTTCCTGCTCCATCAGAATTTCAATTGCTCATTACATTGCTGCAACACTTAAGGAAAGAGTCGAATGACACTGTTTTCTCATATTTTCTAGACCCATTTATTATTATTTACCAAGTCTAAACTTAAATGAAATTTGCTAGAATCAAAGCTCTATTTCATGGTTCTCTGCTTCAGTTTACCCAAATGGATAAAACAGATATATCAGATGAATGAAAGGTATTCAAGAACAATATAAAAATGCAATCAGAATTTGTTTTCTTAAACGTTTCCTCAAAATGTTGCCCAGAAATACCTCAATCGTCAACATTTAAAAAAAAAAAAAAGGAATGATCCCAGAATCTCAAAACAAAACTCCATAAAGAAACATAGACAAGTATTGGAGATAGTAAAAACATAACAAGGGTCATGTTAACTATCACTAAACTAGAAGCCAAATATCCAAAGAACCAGAGAAAGAAAAACCCACCAAAACCTTCAAGACCTCAAGATTCACCATTGATCTTCTTCTCTGAGCCGATGGTTTTGGTTTTGGCTCTGGCTGTGGCACTGCTGGTAAAACATCACCAATCCCAAGAACAGCAAGCCTCTCATCTGCATACACATCTTCAATAACAAGAACTTTATTGACCAACAAGCCCTCCTGATCCTGCCTCAATGTGACAGTAATTTTATACGCTTCCAAGAATGTGGGCACCGCCGCTGGATAATCCAAATCAATCAGAACCGACCACGGCATCTTGCATGGCACCACGTGCCGGAGAAAGACCGATGAATAATCACTGAAATTACTAAAATAACCCTCCATTTTCTCATCCGGAGGAGCGAACAGAGTCAGCAAAGTTGACTCCTTTGTCGTCCCCATTTGCAATTCAAGAAATGAAGCCATAATTGAGTACCCTTTCTCTTTCATTTCGTGAATAGCTTCATCGAAACTCATCGAGCCATCGCCGTCGTCTTCATCGTCATCACGTGCCGATGCTACACAATCAAGATTAGGCCTTGGAGAGGCACGGAAGTTTGGATCAAAGAACTTCTCAATCCCAAAGATCCTCAACCACCCGTCGTCGTATATCACTGAGCTGGCGTTAACCTTGACGCCATTAAGCAAAACGGAACCCTGATCACGAGAAGGCGGTGAAGTAATGAGGAGAGTGTGGTAAGGGGAGAAAGTTGGAATCTTGGAGTTAAAAGGGAGGGATTTGAGGGACTGGGAGGTCAACGATTGGGGAGAAAAGTGAAATTTCAGGAGGGAAAGAGACGGTTGGCCGAATGAAGCGAAGGTGGAGTCGGAAGGGGTGAAGATGGTGAGGGATTCAGAGCGAGGGATCAAGTTCTTGGAGCCGAATTCAAGGGTGAGAGCCATCGAAAGGAAGCCAGAATTCGAGAGTGTTTCGACGGCTTTGGAGAAGGAATCGTTGGAGAGACAGGAGGAGAAGGAGAGGAGGGAAAAGAGAATGAGGGAGATGAAAATTTTGGGGGCCATTGATGACAATTCGAGGCCTTTCTTTGCAGAGTTCAGTGTTCTCATGGTTGGTTATAGCTGCAGAGAAGGAGTGAAAGACGTTGGTCGAGTTTTAGCGGGAAAGGTTTGACACGTGGCGAATTGGGTTCAGACTAGGAAAAGTGGTTTGAATTCCGAAAATGCCCTTGATTATATTTTTATATCAATTAATGTGATTATTATGGTTTTTGTGTATATAAATTCTTATGCATAGTGTAGTATTATTCATATATGCCAAATGCTTGAAAATATGCTATAATTAGTTTTTAGCATTATCAATATGATTATTGTCATTGTCCACATAAAATAACAAAGAAAAAGTAAATAGAAGCTGAGAAAATAATAACAAAGAAAAGCTCAAGAAATTAAGTAGAAGATGAATGGAGATGAGTTTCATACAAAAACAAGCTTCCATCTCTCTTAATAGTTTAAGCATAAACTCTTGTATTTATAGTAGGGTTTTGAAAATTTTATGAATGTAAATTTTTATGAATGCTTCAATTAATTAAATAGGAAATTAATTAACATGTAATAGAGAGAAATAGGAAGATAAATATGTCGTATTTGGACTTTTTAATACTGAAAATTCCTTTCTAAATTGGGATTTTGAAGGGGTCCTTGTAATTTGGTAATAAATATTCTAAAAATTGGGAAATTCTGATAATTTTCTATATAATTTGTCCTCTGAATTTTGTCAAATTGAAATTGAATATTGGCTGAGAAGAAACTTACTGAAAATTTACAATATATGTCCTTGATATTTGATGATTATTATTATTATTATGATTGGGTGTCCTAATTTTATTTGGGCGCAATTTGTGAAGCTTCTAAATACACCACCCAATTTTCTAACAACACATTTTTATTTCTTCCAAAATGATATTACATTTTTCAATAATATCTACCGAGTAATCTTCACAAACATGTTCTTCACCCGTAAGCTAGATTATCATAAAATAATTTTGATGTTTATATTAATTTATAAACATATAGATTAATTTATTTCTTAAGATATGTATACAAATACAATTTCATCGAAATTAATAGAAGCGTTAACAAGGTCAAATTGTCAAATTCCCATGACACAGTTTCTTACAAGACAGGTATGTAATTAATTTTGATTAATTTTCTTGAAATTTTGAAAGAGTCAACTTCATTTCCTCACCAATTTTTATATTGTAATTGATATAACAATGGTAATGTTATTATAATTACTTAGGAAGTATTTTCATGGAGGGTTAGCTCCTAACTGAACAATTAGATATGTAGTTTATTTCTACGAGGTTTTTTAGCCATAAAATTTAGGATTTGAGTTCCCTCATAATTTATTTAATCAAAGACTTTTAAAAGGTTTACATAATTTGTTTCTCAAATATTGTAGGGTTTGACGGTTTGATGAGAACTCTAATTATGAATTTTGGTTTGTAATGTAAAACGTATAATTGAAAATACACAAGTACAGTTTTAAGGTCGTTCGATGATATAATGGTAGTCTAAATTTATAATAACATCAATTAGAAATTGTTAATTTGTTGTTATAGTTGAATCATGATAATCAAAGCATAAAGATTCTTACTTAATTTCCTACTTAATTAAGATATAATCAGACAATTTGTAAATTTTATGTAATTTAATAAGAATATTGATTTATAATTACTACAATATTAGAGTAATCGTACCTTTCAATGTTCACTTTTATATTTTGGTCTAAGATATGATTAAGATTTTTCCAACCAAAAATTATTTAAAATGATAATTGGATGTAACATTATCCTCAATTAGATAACCATTATTCCCTTTACAAATATGTATAATTTCTAGTAAATTTATTTATTTATAAAACATTAAAAAAGGAGTAAAATCAAGTGGGACATCCCTCGATAATTGACAGGATTTATCCACAAATGAAACATTCACCTTTATTTAATTATAAATTAAAAGTTCTAATCAATTAATATATGTTAATTTCCCTATATGTGACAAAAGATTGAAGCTTCAAAGAACATAATTTGCACCTCAACTTTTACAATATTGTTTTCTTTTGCCTCCTTAAAGTCCGCGATATTTATATCCTAAAAGATTTGTATATAAAGATAAAATAGTCTATTAATATATTTGTAAATTCACTAAAGCTTATAATTGATCAGTTCACAACGGGTTACACATACGTCTCGCACGGGTCTTATAAATTAATTACAAGCGGATTAATTGCGAGTTGTCACATTATGGTTGTAAGATAAAATTTGTAAGAGATGGTTGTTGGTGTAGTATTACTCTTCTATTTATAATTTATCTGGACACACACCGTGAGAGGGAAACTATTTGTCAGGAGACAGAAGTTGGAGAGTAAATTTATAATTCACTTACAACTAAAAAAGCTTTTACATTTATTCATTATACTTCTCCACCAAATTGAATTATGAGTTTCCACTAATCACAGTGATTACCTGGCAAATGGTTAGCAATTTTTTTCTCCAGGTAATTTCTCTCTACTTCTTGCTTCCATTTAAAATGTTGGAAAAATTATCTGTTTATATACCAATAATTTTTCTTATTTTTTTAGTATCTTTTTATGTATCTAAAAATTATTGATTACATTTTTTGCTGTTGGTTCAAGTCAACTAATTAGTCAGCTTCTATATCATTCTCGTAAAATTCAGACCTTTATAATTGAAGTAGAAATTCTTGTAAAATTAATTTTTTTTTTTAATGAAATTTTATAATATTGGCACGTGTTTGATGAATACCATTCAATGATCCACGTTAAGGTAATTAAACTAGTTTCATTCACTTACGATCCAACATTTTTTTTTTTTAATTTTGTATCGTATTATATATTATATATGTATATAAATTTTTCTATAGAATTTTAGTTCACTCTATAGAAAAATATAAATGTTAATATCATATATATATTTAACAAACCATTTAAAGAAAATAAACTTAAATCTGATTTATTGGTAACTTATTTCAAGATCATTTAGAAAATGCTATGATAAGCTTTTTAATTTAAAATGAATTAATTATTTTCCATGAAAAGAAATAAAATTGTGGCCGAACGACTTATGCATACCCAAGGTTTATCGAAACGATAAGTTGGTACTCAAAAGGTTTTGAAACGACAAATAGGTACCTTCCGTCATGTTCGGTTAGTGATTTTCATTTGATAATAGTGAAAAGACTAAAATGCCCTTAAAAGTTTAATATTTTAGATTTTTATAAATTTAAAAATTTCTAAAAAACCCCCTAGGTTTGCTAATTTGACTAAATACCCCAATATATAAAATTTTTATAAAATAACAAAAACACCCCCGCCACCCGCAGTGCCAGATTCCGGCCACCACCGCCGGAATCTGGCCGGAAAATTGTGTTACGACACAGACCCATCGGATCTGTGTCGTAACGCGTAGATCTTTCATTTTCCGGTAAGATCCGTGGCTGATCTGGCCGGAAAATGAAAGATCTACGGCCAGATCTGGCCGTCGAGAACGGAAACTTGCCGAAAAATTGTGTTACGACACAGACCCATCGGATCTGTGTCGTAACACGTCGATCTGGCATTTTACGGTCAGATCCGTGGAGAATCTGGCCGGAAAAGGCCAGATCTGGCCGTCGAGGCCGGAAAAGGCCAGATCGGTGTGTTACGACACAGATCCGACGGGTCTGTGTCGTAACATAATTTTTCGGCCAGATTCCGGTGGTGGTGGCCGGAATCTGGTACTGTGGGTGGCGGGGGTGTATTTGTTATTTTATAAAATTTTTATATATTGGGGTATTTAGTCAAATTAGCAAACCTAGGGGGTTTTTTAGAAATTTTTAAATTTATAAAAAACTAAAAATTAAAATTTCAAGGGCAATTGAGTCTTTTCACTATTATCTAACGAAAATCACTAACAGAATATGATGGAAGGTACTCATTTGTCGTTTCAAAACCTTTTGGGTACCAACTTGTCGTTTCAATAAACGTTGGGTATGTATAAGTCGTTCTCCCTAAAATTGTTAACAATCTTTTGGACAAGTCAATGGCTTGGGCCTCAGGATTCTATGGATTATGTGGTCGACAACACATAACAGGTACCACGCGATTAGTCACACAAAAACCCAATAATCTAAATTGGCTCAGTAACATTACTGGGCTTGTACCATGGATGGGTCAATCTTAACATAATTCAATCATGTAAATATTTGGACCAAACTCTCTGTCCCTATCATCAGAAATTTTGTTCAATCATCAAAAGATTTAGAACAAAATGACTAGTCAATGGATTTGAAAGTTAACATAATGATCAAAATCCTCTACAAGGGCCTGTTTGGTAGGTCATTTGAAAAATGTTACTCTAAAAAACTATCAAGATAGGATAAAATTAAATCAAATAAGATAAGATTCTGAGAATGTATTTGATATAATATCTGAAATCTAAGTTGGATAAAAATTAGAATAGTTGTCTGGTACATTTTTGGAAAATATTTTCTGAAAATATTTAGATTATTTTTTAACCCTCTACATTTGTTAATTTGCCTAAACACACCACACAAAAAAAGTTTATAAATTAACAAAAACACCCCCACCCACCTAAGCCACTGCTGGCAGTCGGCAATCACCGAAATAGCACACGATCGACTGAATCTCGCCAGTTGTGCACCAATCTGAACAGATTTATGACTAGAGATATGGTCATCATCAACGGCCATATCTCTGACTGTAGATCTGGCCACATCCGATCGGTCGTGAGTTGTTCCGACGTCGACAACCGGCAATGACCTCTAGTGGAAGCTGCAACTATGTTTGCTAGCGGCTAGTAGTGGCTTGGGTGGGTGGGGGTGTTTTTGTTAATTTATAAACTTTTTATTGTGAAATGTAGTTGTTTTTAGTTTAATAGACTTAGAAAAATGTTAGAATAAGATAATAGAAAACAAGTCCCACCCAATTTTCATTTTTAATGGAAAAAATCTTATTTGATTCGGATTGATTTTCAAAATAATGATCTTAATAAACAAACACATATTCTGTTTTTTAATCCAAATAT